TGCATAATGAAATCCAATTGAATCCCTTAATTTGCAAATCTAAAACTAAATCAATTGAAGAACGGACCTGGATCTTAGCTCAATGCAGATCCACAGAGGCAAAAAAACGGCGGCGGTTGAGTTGAGAGAGCTCGACGGCGGCGGAAAGCAGGTTTTCCGGCGAGACAAAAAGCTGAAGAAAGAAGCTGAAGAACGGACCTGGATCTTCAAGGAGAGTTCAATGCAGATCTGCGGAGGCAAAGAAACAGCGGTGATTGAGTTGAGAGAGCTCGACGGCGACGAAAACCTCCTTTTCCGGCGAGAACACCATGGTCGACGCGATTCTGCAACGAGAGAACTCGCGACCCGATTTTTTTTTTTTAAAATTTTTGCAGTTTTTTAAATAAATGGAGATAAATGAGCCAAAGGTATTTTCGTCCGATCACATATAATTCATTAAAAGGGGGCATGAAGATTAATAARGGAGATAAGAGATTTGTGTTGGAGCAAAGTGTCCTTTTGAGATCATGTCTCGTCCGAGTGATGGGTAGGGTTTCTGGAGACTCGGGAAGTGGCGGAGGAAAGCCAGAAATAGCACGGCGTAGCCGTTCTCCGTCGGGAAGGATGCAAGGAGACAGATAGTTGGAGCCAAGAAAAATTCCATACCGGAGCAGAAGCCAAGACCGGCGGAAAGTTTTGCTTGGTCGAAGACATCAACCTGAGATCTCGGTGAAGGTATTTGGTCACTATTGATGAACTACTCCAAAAAAATCCACTTATCTTATAAGGAGTTATTCTTATTATAGAATTTCTAGTAGAATCGACAAGATGTAAACACAAGTAAACAGACACTTTTCAAACCGGACCCATTTTTTTCTGATCCTTCGATAAAAAGATTCATTTTCTTCATAAAAAATAGGAGGTAGAACCAATAAAGATTTTTTTTTCGATTCATCCCTGGAGTTGAAAACCTCCTTCAAGAATTGTCTTTGATCCAAGAACGAAGTAACTAGAAAGATTGTTCAAGTTCTCCTTTTTATCTTCTAGGAAGCAGTCGGCGGAGCAAACAATGAAGCCGGAGACTTGAAATCAGGTTTCGGGGAGGTTTGGAGGACTGTCGTGATTGGAGAGAGACCCAGCGACAAAGGCCACTCTAGATCCGGTGGGTCAGGAGGGTCAGGCGGATCTGGTGCCGCGTAACCTGAGATTTCTCCGACAACTCCACATCCGGCCATGACGAGAAGCACAAGTAGTCGGGTGACTTCTGACGAACGACGGCCACCAAGAAGAGGGTTCTGTTTACCAGTGACAAGATGTAGTGGCTAGGCCGAACCACATACCGATGTCGCCGGAAGTCGCTAGACACACGGTGGAAGACAACATCTCTAAGGGTGGCGAAAGAGAGA